TGAAACTATAAAATTCTGCAGCCAGTTCATTGTTTTGAATTCATAACTTAATCAAGCATTTAACATAACACAATTTTGCTTACATCTGCGGCTCTTGTATATGACTCGTGACAATCACAATCCGCAGCATCGCTTCGAGGCTTTTTAATGACTAAATCTGTGAAAATGTTCTTCCAACCCACATTACTTCAGTTGAAGATAAGAATTATCGACCGGTCTTACCTAAGCTGACTGAATGGATAGATGAACAAAAAATGAAGAAAATATTCCATTTTGAAGAAAAGTAGGAGAGTTCTTGTCCCATGTCTCTGGCTATACATAAAAAGTATAACAACCTGCAAGACTTGAGAACATGTTCGATGTACAATGTTGAGCTGATTCTTGATCTGCTCATTGAAATAAATCAGGTACTGCAAAAACAACACATTAAATCAAAAGACATAATGCAAATCATCAATCTTCAAATGATTCATCAACCATGATTTATCAAATAATAGCATAACAATGGATAAATGAATACCCATCTTAAGGTAGCAACTCTCAAATGTCTCTCCTTTTATGGCCAAATGCATAGTGTGCACAAAAAGGGTACTTAAAATTAGCCTCCGGACCTGAGTTTCACATAAACTATCAGTCCTTCAGCTTGCAAACGTGTGGAGAAGTTCTACCAGATGAATACCAAAGAATTTAAAAGTATCCCCATAAACCATGGTGAAGTGCAGTTACTAGCTCAAAATTTAGTTTTGAAAGTAAATGAAAGGAAGTTCTACCACACCTCCGGGTTTCATACAAGTACCAAACAATTTAAAAATATCCCCATAAACCATGGTGAAGTGCAGTTACTAGCTCAAAATTTAGTTTTAAAAGTAAATGAAAGGAAGTTTTACCACACCTCCGGGTTTCATACGAGTACTCAACATGCAGGAGAAAACAGGATGGCCTTATAGGTGAAAGGTGATTGAGAGTAGGGCCCAAGAGTTTTAGGGGAGATGGAGCGAAATATTCTGAGGTTGTAGATTATTGAACAAATCGGTATAACTCATAAGGATCAAACTTTTATCCTTGTAAATTCATCCGCAAATCTGTAATGTATTAATCATCATCCCCTTCAAAAAAGATAAATAAATAAAAATACTTCTGCCAATCACTCTCTCGAATTGGGTATCTTCAACCACTATTGTAGCCACTTACCCCAAATCAACGTCAAATTCAAAACAACCAACACAACCTCTGTGCAAATAGATCTCATACTTGGCTATCAAATATAATAAATCTCTATCAGCTTCAGCTTCACCCTTATATCCCTATAATCCCAAAACCCTTATCCGCACTTTTCAATGTACAATGAATTGAAAGCGGCAAGAGTGAATGTGGTAATCTATGCCTTTGTTTGGGAAGTATTTATGAACCCTCTTGGTTCAACTATTTTTAAATCCACACATTTCGTATTACCCACAAGTACTACCCATTTTTCCATCACTCATCTCTATATAAACACTTCTCTAACATACTCTAACCAAATGAAAACAGTACCCACTACCCAAAATTGCAATGTGGTATATATTCTTTTGCGCTAGGTGTTTAACACTGGACTGAAGGGTAAATTACTATCCCAAATCCATGTAATGCAAGTACTTGTGATATATCAGCATGCTTTGCAAAGAAAGGCGTAGTATTGTTGATAATTAGAGTTCCATGATGACAATGTTACATAAAACTGTAAACATTGAGGCCTTGTATGGGAGGGATTAAAATCGGATTAAAATTGAAAATATAGCCGTTATTGTTGACTTTTATTAGACGAATAGGACCCAATAACGGCCATATTTTCAATTTTAATTGACTTTTAATTCCTCCCGAATGGGCCTGAAATTATAAGTACAATTAGTTGAACAAGGCAGTTACCGAAAACATAGTCTACTAAAGTTTCCATGGTAGCAAAATGCATCTGATATATTCGAAGTAACACAATTTTTTATTGAATGCAAAATCAGACTGAACATAATAAATTTTCAACCAAAGTTGTATCTGGATAGTGCATTACCTACACAGTGTTGCTCACCGGAGAGAGTATATTAGCTAGATCCACTGCTGCTCGGATGCACAGAATGCCGAATATCAAACTGATCTACATTTGACAAAGGAATAACAGTCTCGTTCCGGATCCTCTTAATGTTCGGGCTCACC